ATATATTATAATATAATATAATATAACACAACATAATATAGTATAATATACATAAGACATAATACATAATACATAATTAATACATAATATATAACATATAAATATATAAATATATAAGTATATAAACATATAAATATATAGATATATAAGATATATAAGATATATAAGATATAATCTATACGATATAAGAGATAAGAAATAACATATAATATATAACAATAATAGCAATGCGTGTACTTCGTGATATATATATATGAAACATGCTATACACGCATGTGGTGCCCCCATGTACTTCGAACTAATGACTTAAATCCTGTTCCTAGAGCTGTCTAGCTAGGAAAATCCAACTTCCGCCAGACGGGGGCTCGACCCGAATGCCGGGCTTATAAGCTCGTGCTTCGCGTTGTCATTTAGTTGCTTCCCACCACATTTGTTTCGGAAGCCAACTACCGATTGAGCACCCCGTCTTGTAGAACAAACACTGCAACAATTCCACGAGCATCAGGCTATGGGCAAGGATGCAGGTCAGTCCCTGAGCTGCGCCAAGACACCCTTCTCCCCATTCCAGACAACTATATCATCGTTCGCATGCTCGGCCATGAGGCCGTACATGTGCACCTTCGATACAGTCCAAGAGCAAGCGGCAACACTTCAAAACCCGTCTCGAGGACATTCATGACCCCCTAAACTAGAGTGCTGTAAGCATCCACATGAGAAAGGAGACATGCTCTGGTACAAAGAAAGGGACGTCTACAATCACCTGTGTTACGGGGCTCAGAACCAGCACTTCTTTGCTTCGTAAGGCGATGGCATTCTCCGCGTTGACCACAAGGCAATGGTTGACATAGCGCTGCGGTATGCAAAGTGCGCCTCCCGTGTGACAAACTTTAGCAATAAGATGACCCAATCAGTTTTGATACCTCAGGAATGTTGACGCCTGAGTTGGACACACAGTGGTCTGCTTTCCACAGCCAAAGATTGTCGCCAATTACCCATCCGTTGTGGATCTCCAGCATGTTCCCAACACCTTTTGGCTTCAGATTCTGTGTTGGTTCGGAAGCACAACATGACAGCTCAGACTTCAGACATTTGGGCACTCTCCTGAAGGCTCGTGATCAGGACCACCGACTCGCGCGATGAAGTCGTAGATAAACCCTTGGTGGTGTGCGTTCGATGCATGCTGGAGCTGTATGAGAAGCTGCATGAGGTCCGAAGGCGAGACGCCAGGATTGCTCTTCGTTCCCGCGTAAGGCTCCTCGGGCTTGCCCCACCTGTAAAACGAAGCACCGCGTTGATCGCTGGTTTTCAGATAATGTCTCTTTAGTCTACATGAGGTGTCCTCTTTAAATATTCATGAGGAACGCATGATGGCAGTCCAAGCCATCAGAACTGACTTGTTGTAGTTTCAGACCAGCTGTGTTTGCACGAGCCTGACCAAAGCACCGACAGCCTTCGAAAAGTCTGGTGAGTCCATCGGTCCTGCTTGCCTCAGCAGTAGCACATTGTGAGCCTGACCTCGCTTCACCGTCACGACACGCACTCCCACGTCACACAACAGACGAGTGTCACAAATACTCCTGCAAGGCGAACGCCATCGACGTTGCCAACCTGCTGGACGCGAAACATGCAAAGGACGTAACAGGCCAGTGCCCTTTGCCGAGGATTCCTCCCTATCCGAGATACTAGTCGCACAGAGTGGAGGACTTTGTAGCGAGCATCCCGGTGTTGCGCCTCGATCACTCCTCTGCCGATGAAGATGGGCAACTTTTGCGGAATGAGAGTTGCAAAGCCTGCTGTGGGGGGCGGGGGGCAGCCAGCTTTTGCCATGTTGGTAACTAACAAAACTAACGTTTAATTGACAGTACCTTGGTTGGTACCACTTTTTGACACCTATTTAGGCTTCGTAGAGCTCCTTGACTGGTCCTCAAGGACTGCTTCATCGCTGACTCAGCTGAACAGGCAAGACACCGAGGCCGAGAAGAACCGTGTTGGGGTGGTTGACAACCTTGCGCTTGAGAGCCGGCAACTGAAACGGTCGCCTTCGACATGTCCTACTGCAACTTCACTGACATTGAATATACTCGAACAAACGGCTATGGGCTCGTCCAAGTAGTACACCGCCGGTGTGAACACAATGTGCTTTCCTGCAAACAAGACCGGCTATGGCCGGCTGACAGTGGCTGAGGCGGAGTTTGAGTTTGGTCAAGTTTGCCGGCAGAGTCACCAGGGCAATGATCTAGTTTTAGTTTCCCTTCCGGGGACTCCGTGAAACGGAACGGCATCCCAGGCTCCTGCAGCAATTGCGGTGTTGATTTGTGCAGCGGTGGTCTTGGCTTTTGTAACAAAGACCTTGTCAAAGCCCACTGTTGAGCCGCTCCTCGGCTACATCAGCGATTTTATGCAGTCCGTATAAGCAGATGTCTTCCAGCGCAAATCGAGTCGACGCACGAATGTCAAGTCTCTGCCAGTCCGGACCAGCATGATTCTGGAGCACCTCAAGAAGACATTGCCGCATGTCAAACGATTCCTGAAGCCTTGCGAAGCAATCTGCGACACAAATCTGTATGGCTTGCTGAGGGTACAACCTCCGGGATGCGAAGCTTGTACTGTCCCTGCGCTCACGAAGTCAGCAACTGTCGGGTCAGATCTGTAGATGAACAGCAGACACAACTCCAGCCGCGTCATGCTTTCGTTCGGGAAGCCAACACGTGCCAAGTGCCAAACTTCAGTAAACTCAGACAGTATTTGCATGGTGTCGCCATCGTTCGTGGCTCGGGGCATGCAGGTGGCATGTAGGAGCTCTCTGGGGTTTTCAGCTGCAAAACTGACTACTGGCCTGGGATGAGGACGACTTTCTTAATTCTGATTCGTCTCATTGTGCTTCGTTTTCCCAAAAGCCCTCCTCCGTGTGCATTTGTAGCATATTGTCTCAGCCGGATCTCTCAAGCATGTATGCCTCGTGAAAGAAGATGTAGGGCTTCTCTGCAAAGACTTCCGGGGCACCCATGTACCTCAAACACCGACGGACATCCCTGCGATGTACAATCTAGCACTGCGCATCATCGAACCCTAGTAGCTGCCGCTACGGTGCGTTAAGCCACTGTGCCATGTCTGATCTGGCTGATGCTGCTCGAAATTCCAACCTCAAACTCCAGGCGAGGTTGAGGTTACCTCTATGCCTCTATGCGCAAAGCTCCACAGCCTGCTGCTTTGGGAGCGGCAGCTTTTTGTTCTGCAGGCTGTTCTGCAAGGCTCTTCAACCGAGCGGTAGAATCTGCACACAAGTCGCCTAGTTTGAATGCGAGCAGGGGGCTATCATAGAACGGTAGACCGCTTTCGCGATCAACACAGGAGATGCATGCATAGCTTCCCTGACCTGCCGGGCGTGTCAACTGCAGTTGGGCAGAAACTCGTTCAGTGTACATACGGTGCTCTCACAACCACCGGATGTTTCATTCAAAGCCCATGCTTTGGAAGTCCCCGATGCCCGTGCCTGCTGGGTGGTCATACGGTCTCATTAAAGTCCCTCTTGTGTACCACTGCTGCTGAGTGCCTACAGCAAGGACGAGGTGCTGCTTCACGTCACACGCAACACTGCGACCCTCGAAAGAATACCGGATTCTCGGCACCGGGCCAGTCACTATGCTTCCGCTGACGTCGGAGTTCATCAAAGCACCGCCAGAAGTCCAATCTGAACCTGCGAATGTCCGGGAGACCCGGAACTGTCAAAGCAGCCTCTGTTCACAGAGCATCGTGGCCCGGTGACCTCCGGCAGACAGGTACAGGTTGCCATCAACCTTCACCTTGCAAGCAGTCGTCGGACACTGACATCGCTTCAGAAGCCTCTCTGCACTTAATGGTAAACTGCTCCAGGAAATCTGGCTTCTGCTGTATGTAGAAAAATGTGGACATGATGGATCAGGTGTTTGCTGCTTCGTTATTGCAAAGGATGTCATTCTCGCGCGATGCAAGCCAATGTTTCAAAGCCTTGGCAGGATAAGCTGCTCTACTTGGCCGTCCTCTTGCAACATCATTACACATAGTGTGGACCTTATGCGAGTGCCACTGCTGCTGTTGCAAAACAAATGGTAAAACGATCAGGCGGACTGGCAGGGTCATGTTGTGCCCTCACACGGTGTCAATCAATACGTGCCGGCAAGACCAGCAGAACTAAAGGGAACCCTTAATTCTTTGTCCAAGTCTCGGATCTCAGTGGCGCGGCTTGGGAAACAAAGAAGTCCAACTTGCCTTGCGCAACATGCACGTTCTCGATCGTGCGCCAGAAGGTGTTCCTGCAGTACAGGCGGCACACTGTGCTATAAAGAATGACATGTCTTGAAGCCACATGACAAATGGCAAGCACTGAATTGGCACGAAGACTACTCTGTGCGGACGAGTGACGTATTCGGGAGCAGAGGACCTTGAACAAATGTTAAATACCAGAAGACCCAAAACTGAACGAATTTTCTACGTCACCGTCATGACCCAGCTGCAATCTGTGCCCACTCATGATATGCTGGCACATACTATGTTGCATGCAAGGGACCGCCCGGGTAACTCGGTGGCTGCTGTTCGACTCTAAGTCCCTCCCCACGGAGACCAGGCTTCACTATGACGTCTTCTGGGCTCACGCCAAGGCCATGGACTCCAGAGTAGTACCATAGATTCACATCCACCTGCCGGTAGGAAGCGTAAGGTCTTACTGAGACGGCTCCTCCCTGCGCCTGGTGCTCTCCGGGTTTCAATAAGATGGCAGTGCGGTGATCGCCGAATTGGGCATCTTCGTCCCAGCTGATCTGCCAGGAAGGGACAAACGCTACAACAAAGACACAGGACTGGTTTGGCATCTATTCGGGGACTAAGGGATTTCCTAGCAGCATCGCATCAACTCTTGTTTGCACGCCTGTGATGGTCGTTCAATTTAATGATTTCTGCCAAAGTGCGTATTGCTCGTAGAGGCTTTGGAGGCGGTCCTCGAACTCAGCAACGAAGTGTGAGCACAGACCCAGACCTGAGCCTTCTGACAGCACAAAAAACCTTTTTGCGATCAGCTCCTCGATCGCCGAGGAGGCCGCCCCAGGTTCCAAGACCTGGGAAGACAACAATGAAACGTCAAGTTATTGGGAACGTCCCCGTCTGCGGCCCGGATGCTATGACATTGGGCCCGAAGTCTGGATTGGTTGGTTCGGCCTCGTTCCTCAGATCATTTAAGCCCTGCATCGGATGCGATCAGTCGAAGAGCGTTTGACCAACTTATGGACTTTTTTCTGCGTGCTGGAGAGTCTCACTTTCGCCTTACTTTTGTGAGTGACCTGCACCAAGCCAGTTGCATCCGGCTGCTCGCACTCACCGTCATCTTGGCTGGGTGGCAGGTTCGCAAACCCACGGTGTCCAGCACCAACACTCTGACACGTGTCTTTTCCCTCCTACTCAGGGCAGGGATGACAGTCGTCTGCCATGCTGACCGTGCTGGCCACACTTGCAGTCTGGCCGCCACAGTTCGCATTGGCACAAGCCCTCGCTGCGAGGAGCCACAAGCCCACGATGCGGGCCCTGCTTGCAATGAAGGGCTATGACAGAACGGCTATGAATTCTACAGAAGGGATTGTAATTGCACGGGAAGGGCAGGTGTTCCGGTGGTCACTCACGGCCTCCTCATCTTTGGCCAATGTTCCGACCATGCGCATTCAAAGCTTGGGCCAGGGCCGCACTCCTCGTAACAAGGCACTGGTGTCCAAACGTACCTATTGCCATGAAATGGTGAATGAATGCATGTTGGTACCATTTTGCGCATGCAGCTACACGGCTCAGCGGCTTAGAGCGCCAGGCGCTTGGGAAGCCACGGGAGTGAGACGGCTGGCCAGAGGTTTCTTCCGGCCAAAATCTTTCTGGTCTGCGCTTCGATGAGGCGTTCAGTGGAAGGGTGACACACCGAAACCAAATGACTCAGTCAGCTGGCCTCGGATTTGAACAATGAGCAGCAGAACTGCATTGCTTGACTTGAGCGACCGGCTCTTCTTCGTGCTCACCCTGACACGCAAGCAACTTCGTCAAGCCTCAATCTGCCACGGCAGCCCTCAGGCCTCTTCTTCCAATATGGCTGGAGGTGGGGCGTCCTTCACGTTGTTTCATCATCGCTCAGTAATCTTCCGAATACTGGGTTCTAGCGCAGCCCTGTTAGCAGTGCAGCCTCCAACGCGAGAGTAAATGTATCAGGACGCTTATGTTACTTCTTTCGCCACTTTGCGCTCGCACCCTGATTTGCACCAGTTGCTCAGTGGTCAGCTTATTTGCGTGCGCAGTCTACCTGCAGGAAAGCTGGAGAAAAGCCAAATCCGACACACAGTACCTTCGACGAAAACACGCTTGCTGACCAGATGCCTTGGCATGGGCTCGCCCACTCTGATGGCTCCGTAAGGAAAGTGCTTATGACAGTATCGAACTGCTTCCCTCCCTTGTCCTTTCGGCCAGCGGCGACTACCTGCGCAGCTCTCACAGTGAATGATCCATCCCTGTCTGGACTCACTGTCCTGTCATCACTAGGCAGCTACACATCTGACAGGCACGATTCGCGAAGTCTCGGAGCACTTCCTGGTTGCAATTTTTGCCAAAACCCTCGTTAGATTACTTTGTACAGCGTAAGGCATGCATACAGCCGAGAAAAAAAACTATGAGAAAAGGCTAGAACAACGCAGGCGAGCCAGGGATTCACAAGCAGTCGCAGTCTGGCCTCCAGAAAAGCCACAAGATTCTCATCAAGCTCGACGGCATCCGCCAGCTGCAACACATCGCAAATTGGATGTATCATCATGAAGCTGTTGCGGATGAGAGAGCATGACTGCTAGGGAGCTGCTTGAAACCAACTTGGGGCCCGCACCAGGAATGTGTCGTGGGGAAGCAGATCCGAATCAATAATGGCCTTTCTACCGGATGCTTGTGGCCGTGCTTGGCAGCCGCTTGACTAAGTCTCGTTTCTAGGATGCGAAGGAGACCTCTGCCCTCAATTGTGGTAGTGCTCCGTGCTACAGGAACCAGACAAAGAGCTCTCGGCTGCGCTGCTCAACCCTCGCCATGTAGTCTTGAGTGTTCAGCAGGAGCCATGTCCACCTTCCTTTCTGAAGAGATGCTTCTGGGAGCTTCCAGTGCCAGAGGCTCGTATGAACTGTGACGGAAGCAACAATAACAGTAGTAACTGTGCTCTGTCCACTTCGACACTTTGCTGGCGCCAGTCGCCTGCATGAGCTCCCGTTGATACGGCGCCTCTCCTGATTCTGAGTCTTGCAGCCTGCAGGGCTTGAGCAATCGCTTGTATCCCTCGTCATCCCTCGTCTCTTCAAGTCCTACCGTGGCCTTGCAAAGAGTTCCTCCAGCCAGGAAACGTGCCTTTCGGACTCCATGTCGCCGACCTGAAGCCACATGAAAGCCGGGGCCTAACCCTGTCTGTGGCCACTTTACCCAGGTCGTGGCAATCGCTATGAAGTCCTCTTCAGAAACGCGAGTCGCCGTGACCTGTAACTCACAAAAACTGACCAGGCAGGCCAGAGCGCCAAAATCTCGATATCGCCGATGCTTAGAGTCGAGCTAGGTCGATGTCTTTATACGTCTGCGGCCGCAGGAGGTCAACTAGCACTTCTCCCGTGGAGGGCTCAACCTCGCTTGCAAGCAGTGAGGCTTCGACTTCCACATATCTGTCACGGTAAGCTGCCTCGTTGCCACAAAGCCGGATGAAGAGCCTGTGCAAAAGCTGGTCGGTGCATCTCATCTTCAGGGTCTATTGCCGGCTGCAGTTTTCCCGAACATGTCCACATGTTCTGTCAGTCAAGTGCCCAAAGCGCCACCGAGGCGATGGCTCGTCCAGGGACAGGTCAGCCTTGGTTCAAGCAAGCTCTCAATCTCAAGCCACCGTTTCTCCCGGGCACGCGGAAAGCGGAACCAGCCTGGCTCCGAGCCGAGCGCAGGACCTCCGAGTCTGGAGACAAACGACGCCAAATGCCACGGCCGAGGTTTCTCCTCGAGAAAAGCAAGAGTGCTCTGGGTCCGGTTCTGAGGTCCAGCTCACAAGGCACACAGTACCACTGCCTCTTCTGCCGTGCGATTTGGTGCTGTAGATCCTTCACCTTTGCAGACTGGGACAGCTCGTTTCTGACTCGTCGACATGGTAAGCAAGCCAGCAACCCACAAGAAGTCCCGAGCAGTGCCTGCGACTCCATCACTGCATTGTACTCTTCGAGTGTAGCCTCATGGGGCAGCTTGCGTAAGTCGTCAGCTGCTGGAAAGCGCTAAAAACACGATCGGCCCTCGCGGCCATTTTGGCACTTGATGTTTCAGAGCTAAGACACTCAGCAAGGTGTAGTGCTGCAGAAGTCATCACAGGATGGCTTGCTTGCAGCTACAACTAACAACATGAAAGGAACAAATTTATAGCAGTTTGGGAGTGGCTTGACTGTGTTGATTTCAGCACATGCAGCAGGATGTGAAACTGCTTCAGCGCATCTCAGTATTGGTTCCAATCCATGTGTCTGTTCGTTCATCAAATTCTCCGCGCGAGAGTCCTTCTCCAAGGGCATCCATGGGCATCCCGGATCTAACGGACACGCTGGCTGAGGGCTCGGGCGTTTTCTCGCTGAAGTGTCTGGATCTCCTGCAAGAGCCAACTGCACAAATTGGAGCTTTTTTCTTCCACCCCAGCTTGGCTAGTGCAGCTTCGCTCCCGCGGACCGACTCGGCCTCTGCATCTGGATTGCCATCCGTGTAGCCCGCAAGGAACTGCGTGACCAGGCTCGGGTTGTCCTGGCGCTCTGAAGCCGTAGAGCCGGAACCCGAAAAGAGTCTCCCAAGAAGTGGGAAAAACGACGGGACTTCAAGGTATCGAGGGGTCCGAGGACTGCTTACTGCTCAGCATGCTGGATCATGCTGAAAGCTGCAGGCAGGCAGGCAGGCGTCTCTTACAGTGCAGAGAGCTCGACATTACCCGACTATTGACAGAGCGATGTACGGGCTGCGCATACTTTATACCTCGAATAGCGTGAAGGATGTTGGAGGTACTCTGGCATTTCCGGCTCCGAAAAAGTAAGGCGCTAAGAAAGTTTCTAGGCTAGGCGAACATTGGGTGGGCTATGACTCCATAACCGTTGCAACGGCGAACTGCTACAAGTCGCTGCGCAAGTTGCACACAGTAGGATTTCTACAGTACCCGCTCCACACTAGCAAGAAATGTCAAGCAACGCCGCGTGACAATCCGCATCTCGTGCTTGGCAGAATGCTTGTACCTTCAGCTGCTGCATATGGCAACAGAGGCAAGTTCAACGCACAGAGAAAGCCAGTCACCACAGGCTGCCGGAACCTTTGCCGACTAGCTGTTAACTTGTTTTCTGCACTTTCTCCCACAACGTATCATAGTTGGAGTGTTCTAGCCAGGCACTAGACCTCAACAACAGCTCCGATCCACTAAGCCACCAGCATCTTGACCAAGCACTGGACAGTTCCAGTTTCAACCTCGAACGTGACTGCTCTTTGTGGGTGCTTGGTTGATGTAGGGCCGACCATACTCTCAGTCAGGGCTACAGCAGTAGAAACCCCCACATCCGCAAGAAGACATTCCGTGCCGGCTGGGACGAAAAGAGATTCCTGATACCAGCCAATGAGCACTACCTGCTTCTGCGCTCGTAGCATCCTCCAGCACGCTGGGTACGCTGCCAGGTACTTTCGAAACTGCTTCAGGTCAGCCAGTCGCTGCCTGGTGCGCCGAAGTCCAGTCTCTGCTCGAGTCAGTCTCGAAGTGCAGATGTGCCTTTCGGCCACGTCCTCGCTGGAGATCATCTGTGGAAGTCGCTCCTGTTGTCGGCCGAGGCACACGAGTGTCGTTTTTTGGCGATGTCCCCTTAGCTAATGGGTGTCCTGGTCCGCATCCCATGATGTCGACATCTTTGCGAACCAGCTGCTGTCGAGATGCCACCCAAGAAAACTAGGATGGCCGTGTTAGCAAGTCCTGCTGCCAAATGATGGGTGGTACAGGGTCTTGGCTTTAGATGGCCCTAGGTCCTAGGTGTGTGCCTTTGCACTGTGCTTGCTCGGTTCCAGCCCTGCGCTGTTGAGCCAACGAAGCCGGACTGGATTCCACCGCATTCGGATTCCTGTAGTGACTCTAGTTTAGATATCACGCAGCCGTCGATGCGATTTGGCTCGTCTTGGCCGGCATTGCGGACGCTCTACACGTGACTCAGGCACAAACTCTTGCGCATGCTAAACTAAAGCCGAGCTCTCGTGTCAGGCACGACGTTGACAAACTTGCCGAACCTGCCATGGTACCAGCAGGTCTACTCATATCCCGGGACGACAGCATTACTATACCTACTATGCATTATTCAGAATCCAGCTGCTGTAGTAACAAACTCAGCCTGCCTAGAGCATCCTGCGTTCCTTTAACAAGCCGGCGACGCTTGTCGATGTTCTTGTTGATGCCACTGACCATCTCGCCCATAACCGAGGACTTACGCTTCAGCTCCTCCTTGGCAATGGTGTTCAAGTGCACAATGTCCGGGCCATCAGCAAGCCGCACATGCCGCACGTGGTGGTACAAATCGGTCAGACGCGAATCTTGACTGACGCCGTGCGCACCGTGAATCTGGATGGCCTCGTCAATGATCTTCTGACACATTCTGGGGGCATCCACTTTAGTCATGGCAATGAAGGACTTAGCATCCTTGAAGCCGTGCTCGTCCGCCTGGACGGCTGCGAGATAGCACAAGAGCCTTGACTTTGTGATTTCCATCCGTGCTTCAGCGATGGACTGGCGGATGGTTGCATGATTTGCCAGGGCCTTTCCAAATGCCACGCGTTTGTGCACTCTGTGGATAATCGCATCCAGCGCCTGCTCAGCCGTGCCAATCGTACGCATGCAGTGATGGATACGACCTGGGCCAAGGCGGCCCTGCGCAATCTCAAAGCCACGGCCCTCTCCTAAGAGCATGTTCCCAACGGGCACTCGAACATTGTCGAAAACAATCTCGGCATGGTCGTGGATGTGCCCGAACAATCCCAAAGGACGGATGATGTGCACACCTTTGGCATCACGTGGGACCAGAATCATGGAATGCTGCTTATGTGTAGCATCACCCCCGGATCGCCCCAGGAAGATGAATACTTTACACTCCGGTCGGCACGCACCACTAATGTACCACTTGTGTCCATTGATGACGTACTCATCACCATCTCTCTGAATGGTCGCACTGATATTTGTGGCATCGCTGCTGGCAACGCCCGGCTCGGTCATGGCATAGGCACTTCGAATGGTGCCTGCAAGCAATGGCTCAAGCCATTGCTTTTTCTGCTCGGGTGTGCCGTACTTCTCGAGGACTTCCATGTTGCCTGTGTCCGGGGCTGTGCAGTTCATGGCCACATTGCAGAGCCCGAAGGCTCCCAAAATCTCGCAGATCGGTGCGTACTCCAGCACTCCAAGGTTCCCAACTTCAGGGAGGAAGAAGTTGTACAAGCCCCGCTCCTGCGCCTTCTGCCTCAAGGTCGCTGCGATGGGTGGCGAAGCTGCCCAAACCGGATGGTGTGTGTAGGCAGGATCTTCATGAGGCGAAGCAGGCTTGCGATCCTTTAGCTTTGCCACTTCCTCCCTGTACTGCTGACCATAGACAGGCATTGCTGGAAGAATGTCCTGCTTAATGAAGTCGATGATTCGCAATCTGACCTCGTAAAAGTTCGGACTCAGTCTGTCTTTGAAAGGCTCCAGCTCTGGTGGTATGCGCTCAGGATCCAGGATGTAGCCCATAGGGTGCGACATTGCAGAGCCAATCCCCCGGCTAGGAAGTGGCTCTAGTGGTCACTAGCGGTTGTAGCTGCACTGCAAGCTTTCTTCTGGAGCCTTGAACCGGGCCCGGAACCGGACAAGCGCCTAGGCGGCCTAGCATGTAACTGGTGGAGCAGATTCTGCGCATCTCTTCGCTTCTTCGGCCCTTCTGCGGAGCTCAAAGTCCACTGTGCGGAAAGCTTCCACCGACGTTGCCGTGAAACGCAACTAGATCCAGCTCTTCCGTGCATCTCGCCGCTTGCGGGCGTCCCTAAGCTCAAGGTCTCTACAGATGTGATAGCGATGTAAAGCAATGTTGGTCTCAGAGTCCCAGGTGCCAAAAGTAGATACGGTCTGTGAAACCAGAGCTCCAGGAGGCCAAATTTACTTCAGGCACTGGCCCTGCTGGGCTTGAGACTTAATTATAGCTTTTCTGACCGGTCCAGTGCCTCGTCGTGAATCAGCTGAACTGTAGCAGCTGAGCACACAGAGTGTAAGTTTTCTGCATGCGACGGGACCCTCGGTCGCAGGAGCACGCAAAGGGCTCTGTGTGCATTGACAGACTTTCGCAGCTTTCACACACCCCCTTTTTAAACAGCAACATGTAGCATGGTGTTCAGAACCGTGACTTGGCTCGAATTGGCTTTGATGGTTGGATTGCCTTGTCTTCTCGGGGCAGCACAGCAGCGAATCAGCGAATCAGACATCGCCGTGACCAGTGCTTTTGTGGTGACGAGGGCAAGTCCTCAGGGCCATGCTTCCGTGTTGCCTCTCAGGCTTCCATAAGATGTTCCAATACGACTCTCACTCCCTAAGACTCGGGCCGTCTGGTAATGCTGTACAAGCCAGATGTAGCCTTGCTTTCTGCGTCTCGCACCTGAGCAAGGCGAAGCCTCTTGACAGGTGAGTCAGACTCAGACAGGTTGTTTTCATGATCAAGCGCAGCGTGCCTCAAAAGCCCAGCATCACAGACTTAAAGATCTGGGGACTCTCATGGATCTTGTTCAGCAGTGCCTCACCGTGTTCCGAAAGGCTGTGCAAGCTGACCAGCAGCCGTGCATTACCCCTCACAACACATAGCGCTTTCTACAAGTTAAGGTCATGGGAGTCATGGGCTCAATGGCTCATGCAATCCTTGCGCATGTCTGTGTACATCCAGCTGCACTTCGCCTCGAAAACTGGGCCGAGCCTCTCGTCGTCGTGGTAAGCCTCAGGGCTGTGTGCCGTTCTGATCATGTTGGCAACCAAGCTATGATCATCGGCGGATGTCAGCAAGATAAGTCAGGGACCCGCAATATCCGAACTTGGCTGACGCAGTTCTCTGGATTAATGTTTCCAAGAGCCTGGCACGGAAAGTGGAACTTGTGTGTGTTGTGTGAATGCAGAAGCTGCTTGCAAACTGGCCTTGCAGTCCTCTCCCTCGTTTTGAGGTATGGTTTGCCAATTTTTCTGGTTTCTTGCACTCGGACAAACATGCCGTCCATCGCGACAGGTGCTGCATACTCGACGAGACCGGGAATATCGTACTTGTGGCCGAGTACAACCTCAGAGCGGCTGCAGAATCCACAGGATTTGGTAGCTGTTGAGGCTGGGTAAGGCTTGCTGACAGATGCACTCAGGCTCACCTTGCCATGGACATCGTAGTCTGTCTACGAACATGCTTAAGTCGGAGTGGAACACGCGCGATTGAAGAAGATTACACTCACCAGCCGCAGGCATCCGCAAGGTGAGCTGTACACACCCTTTTGTCTCTTCCTCGCTTCGCACACCATGTGAATCTGTTCCCCATGAAGCTTACAGTTCAAGCTGTACCACATAGCCATGATCATTCTTGTTCCACTCGTCACAGCCTGCGCAAGACTCCGATCCGTGAACAACTGCAGCAGTCTTCTTGTATCTGCCGATTCAAATCAAAGCCGTCCTGAGTCCGAAGCAAATCAATTAGCGAGTTCTGGACGGAGGTTGCATTTTGGTTTCTGGAACCAGTGGATAGGTTCGACTTCCAATGTCCCCCCCCCCCCCCACAACACGTTGAATTTCCCGCCTTGGCTTGGTGCAAATGGTGTGGTCCAGATGCAAACATCACGCAGCGTCCCAAACGGGGCTCCACCAGCTCATCCCGACAAGGGTCGTTGAATGCCAGTTGTCCTGCACGTGTGCGGACCAGTGGAGGGCCGGGCTTCTTCTAATCTCGCGGACGCACAGTGATTCAGGAATTGCTCAAGAATTGTGTTTCGAGCGTTCAACCTCCTTCGAAGTCTGTACCCTTCGTGGAAAGGTACAGAATGGCGCTGTAGTCGTAGTAGCCTTCGAGGGCAAAAAATGACGTGGGTGGATCTACCATGCACCTGCGTGAGCACCATGCCATCAACTGTTTGATTAATTTAGAACCCATGCAAGAAAATCAGTCTTCTACCTAGACATCAATACAGTCGCACCATCAAGTTTGCGTGATTGTGTCAGGGTTGCGGGCACATGATGTCGCATCCAAGGTTCTAATGTTTGCCTTGTCCACATGGCAAATCGTTGGACCGCGATCCTCGGATTCTGCTCCATGGTATGCTGCGAAGCATTGCCAAGCCCATCTTTGTTGAAGATAGGAAACATGGACGGGGCTGAAATAGTTCAGGACATGAAAAGAAGCCTTCACTGTCTTCCAAAACAGCGGACATGCTAACAAACTAACAACATCTGACGAGCGTTACAGAAATACCAACCCCGAAGCTGGAGTAAGGCAGCAGCGCATGGGCCGCATGGAGACTGCGAAGGCGATCGCCCACGCTTCTAACACATCACACACTGTGTCTGCTGCCGAACTTATGCCTAACAATCGTTCTGCTCACGATACATTAGCCGTTAGCCCGAAAGAGCATTTTGGCCATGCACTCGCGTGGCCGGGCAATCGCGCCCTCCCGGAAGACCGCAAGGTTGGACCGTGTAAGCTCCACGCTCGCATCGGTGTCAGCACAGCCTGCGACGCCGGGGTGACACCTGTGGTTCACGCTGCCTTCCTGCAGCAGCCCCAGCGACAGGGCCCCCCGTTTCTAAGCCGTGTGGACATTTGGGTGGCCCTCAGCCTCTGAGTCCCGAATTTAGAATTTTCGTTGAGGGCCATCTGTCGGAGAATGCTGACCGTAAAGCTGGCCACGCCAGCGTGCAGCGTGCCGAAATCGTCCGAAGTTGCTGCCACGATCGCCCAGGAGTGTTCCTACGCGAACTGGATCCGCCAGCAATTATCCCCCCATGGCGCGACGGTCCAAAGCTCGGAAGTTTAGAAGTTTAAATGGTGTACGATGCGCTTCGTGCCGAGGTGTGGTTGTGCACGGCAGGCTCTCATTTTGTTTGGAGGTTCGTGATCAATCGCAAAACGCCCTCCCATGTTTCCGAACAAAGCCCGGATACAAACACAAAATCAAACGGAGCAAAACCGATGTCACAGTCAACGTCGCTAATGGATGTCCTGCCCCTGTCAAACGTCTCGAAACCCACATCTGCGCTTCCGACCGCCCACCCAAACGAAGCCAAAAGTGCAGGATGCAGAAGTGCAGGAAGCGACCTACTACCCCGACGCTTACCTAGACTGTCCGAAAGGGTGGGGGTAGTACACTATTTAAGGGTACGGCTATCTCAGCCTCGGAACCAGTCTGTTGAATGTTGCCAGCACGGATTTCAATTTTGCATCTGTGCGAGGTCTACTTTGGACCTCGCACATCTTGGAGCAAATATCACAACTGAAATCAGCAGAAGAAACCATGAACTGATAAACGGATTGTAATTGTAGACGCAGGTCTACGGCGCCGACAGACGCCTACCAAGTATTAGCGAGACCAACATGTAGAGCATCCGAGCGTCATATCCACATTCGCCCCCAGGCCGTGTGCGACGCAGCATGGCTCCCACCAGATGCAGCGGCCGCTTCTCGCCTCGGTCGGAGCTTCGAGGGAATACCGGGATTCGGGCTTCGCACCCCGCCCCCGCCCCCTCACACTTCCCCTGTGACGAAGCCCTGCGTCAGTGAGCTGTCTGGTACACATGTATGTACATCCTTCCATACATCTATGCGTGGATGCATACGTGCGTACGTACGTACGTACATACATACATACATACATACACGCATGCATGCATGCATAACCCTGCATCTGCAAGCTGCATGAGTGTCCGATCGTACATGCAGACAACAGATGACATCACAAGCCAACCTGTCATATGCAATCTTGACCGACGACTTGGCCAGGCTTGCACATCCGAGAGGCTGAAGTGCCGTCGTATCAAGAAGCGTATGCGGTCTGGAATCTCCTGGTTCAGTGGATTGTCCGGCCAATCCTGGAAGGCCGTTGAGCACTCAGCATCCACGCCGAACATCTCATCGATCTGGAAGAGCGGATCGCCATGAGCATCTTTGGCATCATGAGTGTAGACACGGGCCTCTTCCTCAGAAATCACGGAGTCCACCGCGACGCGTTTCCGCCGAAACTTTGCACAGTTCGCGTAGACATTGGCGAACATCGGGCGAAGAAGTGGCAACCTGCCACAAAGATTGCAAATTAGTTTGGCGTGCCGCGCTCTAGGGGCGGTGGCAGCGCATTTGGTAGTGGCTGGTGTTTGTCTGATGCACGTTCGACGCGCGAGAGCACAAAGACCTTGTAACGGCCAACAGCTTGAAGACTGTACTAGTAGTTAGAGTTGAGCACTCGGGCCTGTATGCTCGTGCCGCAGGTGAAGACCAAATAAAAGGCTCCCGAATCCAGCTAGCTGCAGTGACCATAGTTTTTGGAGGTTGTCCAGGAGACCTGCGACCATTGACGCGTGTCTGTGCTGTGAAGCCGCCTATGGTCCCTTTAGGATTGAGCCAGTCCTACATACAAATGCGAAGCTAGATATTCGGATCAAGCCAGCATTTCAGACCAGCCTGTCCAAAATGTTGTGCTGAACCAGTTCTTCCTGCTGGCGAGCAGCACGTGCCTGGCTGGATCTTGCTTACAACTGATTGCGCGAAGACAGGATATTGTGTTTTCGCGCTTCCGAGCCTGCTCTTGTTCGATGGAGCCTCGTGGCCTGTAGACAGGTACTGTGCTCCGCGACCCCTTCTGCGAAAAAGGCCTGCAGTGAGGTAACAGCGAGCATTTCTGAATCATTCAACTTGACGAGATGTCCTCGTACCAAGTCCAGGCAGCCGCACCATGTCAGCAGGACATGGGTGGAAGCAAGAATACAGATTGCTGGATTCCTAGACGTGTCAGATTTGAGCTCCGCCATATGCACGCTATTCCATACAGCTCACTTCTGCACACTCTGATAGCTTTGCCCGGTGCATGTTTTTCCGTAACTAGAAGACAGGCTTCGGCACAAATCGCGTCGAAACTGCAGCACTTCAGGAAAAGGCAAATGTGAGCAACAAACCCGGAGGTGGGCAGCGTTCGCATCGTGATGAATCCAGCAACCACCGACCCACCGAAGAGTTAAAGGTATTGTGACAACAAGGCAAGGCCATCAAATCTGATCTGAGGCAACATGATTCACATCTGCAACTACCATCAGCCGAGTGCTGGACCATGCCACATCCGGCTCTCTCGGCCACACAGCCTGTTCAAGCAACCAAGGCACTGGTGGCACTGCACGCCCAGCAGATGCAACATGTTCGCTACACGAGACAGGATCCGCACAGCTGGCAAGAAATCCCGTCGACAGTGCCCAAAGTACATGTCGCAAAATCCAAAGAGCACACCTGGCAGCAAGCACGGAATCACCGACCTGTGTAGATGTACTCAAGCATGTGCTGGACGGACTCAGCGGCAATGTCATTCTACGAAGGGAGAAGCCCCTTTGGTCTGGTCTCGCGGTGCAGCTGAGTAGCTTCCTCGTCTGTGTCGGAGATTACTATCTCACGTGCCTGGGCATAATCGATTTTGGAGGTGACATGAGGTATAGTGGTGCGGTCAAGGGCTGTAGTGGATGAAAATGGTCTTAACGATATCTGAGCAGACGACATGGCTTTCTTTCATCTCTGCTCCGAGCATCGCAGCAAAGACAGTGGAAGCCGCTGCAAGCACAGCCTAGGCTAGGTCACAAAACATGTTTGTCCGTTGGTGTAGGCCCGGAATGTTTGTGCTGATTGTAGATCACCAGTACAGCGAATGATAGCTCCCGTGATACTTGCACGACCAACAAACATTATGAACAATTGTCGAGTCGAGTTGTGTTCCGTCTGCCCCCGCGGATAGTCTGCCAGTGGACTCTGTACGAAAAGTCAGGTAAGATGGCGGCACGATGAACTGGGAAATGCTGCTCGCCGCAAATGACCTGAGCAGTCATCGGACCAACATGCGAGTCGAGTACAGAACGAGGTTTTTTCCTGATGTTTCCAGGGCATGCCGGTGGCAGGCCTCCACGTCGGTGAACCTGCGGTCGCCCCAGATCTGTCTGGTAATTTTTTGCGGATATCCCACCTCAGGCAGCCAGGAAGCAACCAAACAGCCAATTCCAGACTTTTTTGTGCTGGCTACGTTTCACTCTATCAGTTAACCATCGAGCAACCCGCTTGTGCAGCTGACGTATATCCGGCACTCCTTTTCAGGAGTAACAGGATAGGTCAGCAACACATTCAGGATTTCCGTAGGGTCAGGACCCATGACCTTGTCTGCAGCCCTCTGACTTGGACATGGGTTCAGCCACGAAGAAAACTGAAAGGCTTGACGATGAGGAGTGCGACAGACGAATCGTTTATGGAGCGCTGTAGGGCATGAAAGGTTGGTGAAGCGGACATAGTACCTACTGTTTTCAGGTTAAGTAGCAAGAATTGCCCTGCATCGAGACAGACCCTTGCAAGTCCGAGGCATCGAGGTTTGAATGTGGCGCCGCATTCGCAGAGTACACATAAGAAGCTGGGTACCAGGCGTTGTGTGCTGGCTCTGTCTTCTGCAACTTGATGACAAACCTCCGTGGGTTTGACATCTAGCAGTTTCAGGACGACACGAGCCGCGAGGCATGACCAGGCTTTCTTCTGTGAGAGGCCGCGGCCCCCTTCAGGCATAGGTCCTGTCTGAAAAGCCCTCCATGTGTATCATCTTGGGCCACTGTTAGAGCCGCTCGAAGAACCGAAGTTCCAACCTAAAGCCACTCCACATCCTCGAGCATAAACCTAGGTGGGGACGCAGCCCCCACATGCTTTTCAGCCCAAAAACTCAAAATTCAATACTCTCCTCCGCTCTGCTCTTCTCAGGCCTGACTGCTTGAACGACAAGATGATTCTCATCGCCGTGGTTCTGGAGGAACCTTGGGCGGAAGACGGGAGCCCGGGCAAAAGACAATATGCGCGCTGCTTTCTCATGCAAGCCGGAATGCGTGAGCCGCCAGAGGCTACTTCGCATGGACATTGTCATCTTGTGAACCTCGATGCAGCAGCACAGTGTACCAGTAGTCGTTGCATTGCAACTGATTTCGACTCGGCCTGCCAAACCGGCTTCCTGGCAGCTTCCCAAGTGGAAAGCTTCTGCCATTCTCCATTAACCTCTGCAAGGTGCTGGAGCGCATGAACACTCAGACACGGCCCTACTCCAGCCTTTGCTTCCAGTGAAAGACCTGAGACAATAAGCTTGAATGGTCTGCCTGCTCCTCTTGGCACGGAAGAATCTGGGAGAGCACTTCTGAGCACTGAATGCCTCCAAGCGTCGCTGCACACCCATCCCGTCGCCTCTATCCTGCACTTGGGCAGGCTTAAACAAACCAGACAAGCAGGACATCTGCAGCATCATAGCAATGCAAAGCGAATTTGGAGCAAGCAACCGTTTTCCCCGGCAGCTCAAAATGACACAAAATGCCCCAAACTTCATATCCGGACTGCTTGCGAATGCTTCCTTCCACTCCACGGCCGCTAGGACGTGGCCCTGCTCAAATTCGAAGGCGAAGGCCTGGACTGGAGCGCCAGCACCAACATTACTACAGTGATCCTTGCTTTTGCAATTCTTGCAGCTTCAGTTGCTTGTATGTCGTTGCTTATATGATAATTAGTCTGTAGCCGGAACATGAGACTCTCAATAATTCCTGTACCTCTTTGAAGAGTCCCGAGGCGAGGGTTCTAGCTGCTTCCACTGTCGAGTCCGCGCTTCCCCCAGCCCTTGAGGTGACAAAGCCTGGTCGCGAACTTGTCCTGGTAGGGAAGCCCAGTACTCCACCGACCTGCGGGAGCCGCTCTTTCCCAGGTACGGCGAGACGTGGCCGCAGTCCCGTCATGCACCAGCTGCCAAGGTCACGACAAAGGGTTGATGAGATGGCTGGCTTCATGATTCATGTAGTGTCCTGCCAGGCTCAAACCATGTGGCCAACTGCCACGAACCCGGAAGCCTGTCGGGCACGTGATGCACATGCTCGCTCCTGGATGCGAAGCGATCTTCATGTTGGCAGCTACGTAGTGGTCATCGCCATAGTCGGTCTGAGCGTCATGTTAACTTGCACACTATCGTGGACCACCTAGCCGATTGCAACCGCCGGGTATGCATCAGTACAACCATCCCATCTTGGTGTGCTGATTGCTCAGCACCAAGACATTGCAAGCAATGACTTCATGTTGGAATGAAGTGCGGAGCCCCTGAGTCGACAACTGGGATCAACCCCGTCGAGGTGTCTCGAGCATCTCGATGCCCTCAGTCACATAATAAAACAACCAGGTAAATATGCCAAGCTTGCTCAATTACAGTCGCGGACGATCAGTATCAGTCGGGGATTGTCCCAGGATATCTCCCCAAGCCAGTGCATAAACCCGAAGGAAAGCGCACTAAACCATCATATGGAAGGATCAACTCAGCCCGGGCCTGGGGAAGGGCTCCGCCAATCACCGGCCAGCTCTCCGCGCCGATCTGAGCGCCGCCTTGACCTAACAATAGACCGTCTTCCGATCATGGACTCCTACGACTCGCACTAAATACTACTAAGACTAAGATGTAGTTGTGTTGGTCTTTTGACTTTCATGCGACCTCGTTGGTCTTCCCTTTGAAGCTTTTTTGCCACCCCACTAACCACTCGTTATGTTGCGGCTTATGACAATCCGACTGGCAGTAAGAAGTTGAGCTCAACATGCGTGATTTTCCAGACGATGTCAGCAGCTTGGCTCTCTTGCCTGAATAGGTCCGGTAGTCCATGAAGTGTGCAGATGACCGAGCATAAGACTCAAATTGACCTGTCTGATGGAGTTTCGAGGGCGAGACTCGGGGCCCCAAGTCGATCGCCAATCGTAAGTGTATTCGGAGTCCGCGCTCCCTTGCATGGCACGATGCCGTGCTGCCTCTGTGGAAGTTGTGTACTGCTGGCGCTAGTCGCTGCATGAGATTGCTAACTCCGTTGCTGGCAGCTGGAAGGATTGATACTCTTTGGTTCACTCGCTGGAACCCTAAGAAAAACGGTGGCCGCCTCAATTCCTGCATGTGACCTCGTCCATCTCCCTGGGTCTCCAGCCTAACACTATCCAAGCCGAGAAAGGCAGCAGGATGCGACCAGAATGCTGTGGTGGAGCATCACACTGAAACAACGCTCAAACAGTAGACAGCTGCGTGAAAGATAAAAGGATGTATATAAAGTGGTTGGACAGCATGGAGCAACATGCTTCAGATTGCAGCCTGTAAGAGCATGGCTTTGCAGACCCTGTGCGAAGCGACATGATGCTAGTAGCTGCTAGGTGCTTCTACAACCTTCAGAAGATATGCGAGCATGTCTCAGCGACTGGGAGTGGGTCAGATACGACATATGACTGATACGCCTTCACCACTGAGGCCTGAGCCCTAACAGTCTAAAGTCCAATAACAAGAATGATTGATACAAAGATATCAGGACTACGGACGAGTTATTGATGCTCAGAGTCATGCTCGTGAATGCTTGGCTATTGAGACCAATCCTCCCATACACCAACATTACCACGCAGTTGTGTGCCGCTTTTGCTTCACATGTGTGAAGGCTCTCGTGGTTTTGGCTGCGCCCATCGCAGCCATTTCGGCTTTGTAGCAACATGCGGCGGCGTTTTTGTTGTGGGGACTACCACTAAGGTCACATTGTCAAGTAAGGTCACCATCTCTGCTGTTGTCGATTTGATGGACCACGGCAATCAGAACTCGAGCAGTTCAAAAACTCCAACAGATGGCCACCTCGGCCGGTCATGTACCAGATCTTACATTACCAACCTCCAATAAATTGATGAACCGCCCTCGACCGAAGAAAGCTGTCTAGCACACCTGCATTTTTCGAAGCACAGGCACGTACTTCGCTCCTACATGCGGCAGGCAGACCATGCTTGTACAGATTAGCCAAGCAAGGCGTAAATTCCTGCTGCCTTGGGTCCAGGGCTCTTATCGGAAACTCGAGTGGTCAGCAATCCAAACAGCAGCTGGTTCGACTTAAGCTGTAAATGGTGTTCTGAATGGTTGCTGACCAGAACCGACACCTTACACCAAGCGCGCAGCCGACTTCGTCGCCGACGCATTGCTCTCCGACGTAGCAGGGCTGAAACAACTAGCCCTACGGAAACGACTTGTAGCCATCCATCTGACATACAACAACTGAACTTTTCATGACGTTTCTTCCAGATTTCGTGAACATGGAAAACGGTTTGGATTCTGGATGAATGCACTTGCAATTGCAGCGGTTGCAGCGTGCACGGGCTGGTCAATACAGAGGAGCTTTGGCTTTACCTCTTGAGGGCAGTGGGCTTGTTTCAAACCTTGGGCTGGCCGCACCAAATGCCACCAGCAAAGATGTTCAGAAAGGCAGAAGGGAGCTTCTCTTGGTAGAGTTGAATGAGCCATCGCCTGTACTGCTCAGCTATCTGACGATTTGCCTTCAGCACGTCCAAATTACTTTGCATAGAGTCGGAGTGACCTCTGCAGCCGCTGTTCCCATGCGCGTCATCGTACTTTACTCGACACGCTACTTCCTGCCAATCAACCCTCATTTTTACTAGTGCGATATCACGGCATAATGAGGTCGCAATGTTAATTCCGAAATCATGCAGCGAGCCGCCGGTGGAAGCTCTTTCAACAGCAGAAGCAGCAACGTTCTCGACAGCCGTCCTGCCCAATTCGAGCGACGAGGACAAGGGACGGACGTGTGAACTGCCATACAATTCACTCCAGTCTCTCCGAGTTTCTCCTGCGGTTGCCGACGAGCCAGCTGGATCTTGCACTCCTCGATTTAAAAGGGATCCATCTGCTACATGGCTTACAATTGACTGCATCACATGTCTCAGTGTCCGTGTGAGCCCGTGTGCGATGAGTCACGCAGACCTTCTTTTGATGATGCTCCGCGCTTGAAAGCCATGCACGACACATCTTTGTCATGCAAGTCACGCGCTTGATGCCATAGTACTCCAGTGTCTGCGCATCCTCCAGCACCTGCTTCCGGAAAGTCAAATGCTGCTCGGCTGGAGCCATACCTGCACCACGTGCTTCTCTCGGAAAACACGCACCTCCCCCGACTCTGCGGCTGGTGCCCACCTGTTCTGTCACGGATGGCGGTCTTCACTTCACTTATCGTCTTGTCAGCGCACGCACCGTCGACACGAAAAGACGTACCTGCCAGCGGATACTAGGTTACTGGGTGTACTGAAGACTACTGAACGGTGAGTGTTTCGGACGGCCAGTCTCCAGCATGCCCCAATCCCCAATGATGCCATCAAAGGGGGCATGATTCGGCAATGCAGCAATACCCTTGCTGGAACTCGTCGCTGGTCTGAACGCTTTGGGGCTCTCCCTGGTATGTCTATGACATTTTTTTTCAAAACCTCCAGCTTCTGAGACGCAGAGTCGTAGCTGTTGTGAGTTTATCCATGGTAGAAAAAGACTCGTATTTCCAGTTTCATTTTGCGGGGGGATGCGCGGAAAACAGCAGATGGAAGCATGAAATGGGGCTTGGAGCGGCCGGGACTCGTCGTTCTGGATTTGCCGTTTCAAATCACCCACGACGGCCATCAAAAGCTTCAGCCGATCTACAGAATGTCCAGAAGAGAGCTTCTCAAGAAGACATGTCATTGCAGATAGCTTGAAATTGCCGCATGGATGGTTGGCACATCTGGGAGCTTGGACAGTCTGCAGACCGAAAGAACCTCGCTTCAGAAGACCGACTTCATGACTGCAATACGAAATGAATTCAATGATCTTGCCACGCTAAATTTCCGGACACATCTTGAGCGCGCAATCCGAGTTTCGGCCTTTGAGCATCATGCGTGTGGAGGGGACAGGGTAATGTGGCACAGAGAGATCATTGTGCTTTGTGTTGCATTTCCGGGCTCGCTTACCGAAGCCAAACTCACTGGTTCTGAGGGAGGATGTCTGCTACCATAACATCGCGTCGGCGGTCGTGTCTGCGCGTAATTCTGTAGCGCAAGCGTGAATACTCGGCATTGCCTGAAGAGTCACAGCGACACCAAGAACTTTAATGTTGAAGCACTTGAGCCGTGCTGCCCTTCCGGCACCAAAAGGCTGGGGATGCCCGCGTGCGACTTTCACGTCACTCTACGAAGAATGACGTGAAGAATACTCAGTTTACAACACAACACCTCCTGCTGGTGCTTTGCTCTGCCAGATGTTGAGCCTTTTTGCTTCGGCAGTGCTTGGTTGGACTCAATATATCGGTTCGACAAAAAAGCACGATTCTGCGACACCCAATGCGATATACTGCGACTACAGTGCCTCCATCAGTTTCCACAATGAACTGGCCGCAGCCCTTCAAGCGCAAGATCATCGCCACCTGTCATAGCTTGATGCAGCAATGTTCCCAATGCCAGCTTACATGGAGCGCATCCGCTGCAGGCCTGATCTCCAGTCTCGACGCCCATTTCTTGTAAGGGGCGGCCATCGTCCAATGGCTTCCCTGGCGTTGTTGATCAAAGCGATAACATATAGCGGAGGTCTTCCCACCTCCGGGTATCTTAGCAGCCTTCACGGCGCAACAGGCGCCACTGAACTACTGTGGGGGCTGCGTTGACCAAAAGGTCGCTACGGGGGCACCCCACCCCTGTAACGATGTGACTTCCTTCCTTCCTTCCTTGCTTCCTTCCTTCCTGCCTTCCTTCCGCTGGGCCAAGCCGACCCCCTCCCTGTCTTTTGTCATTAGGGCACGGGCTTTGGGGCCTTTCGAGCAGTTGTCGCTCTATTGGACAGTTCAGCTGGGAGTGGGTGGCCGTTGCTATATCCCCCCAACCCGAACTTTGAGATACTTTAAGCAGGCCTCGTCACCGCGCCTCTAAGGCAAGCTCCTTAGTACCTGCAACAGCCACCTTCCATCTAGGACACTACGCGACGTGACTCTCTCTTTCTTTCTTTCGGGGTTATGGGCAGGGGAAGATTCCCCTACCCGCGCGCTCCAAGGCGCCCCCGACTGGTGCGGAGGAGGATAGTGAAGTGCATATGCACCATGAAGTCCATTATCGCCGTCAATAAGTGACTCTCTCTCTCTCTCTCTCCTCTCTGTCTTCTCCAAGGGGTGGAGGACTGCTTGGGTCCCCAGGGGCTTTCACGGAATGTGAGGACTTTGTCGAGGCTCCTACATGCACGATTTGGCAGGTGCTCTGCCAGCCAAGGGGCAACACCGTGACATGCCTTTGGATTGTCCAGCTTGTTAATGACTTGTGCTAAGAAGGTGCGGAGCAGTCGCAGACCTGTTACACCACTGAACTGCAACCCGCCTCGAACCTCTTCACAGTGAGGCCGTTCTGGGCTAGGCTCCGAGGTTACAGGGCTGATGGCTGAACGTCACTGTAGCTTTCTTTCGCCAGGGCTATGGTGTAGGTGTAGTCCCCCTCTCTATCTCTCTCTCGCTGTCCCTGGTGTAGCGATAGGGAAACAGGAAGCAACAAGTAAACCACACATGATGCTGAAATCCAGGGTAATCGTGGGCGAAAGCGCAAGACGACAGGCAATAAATACAATGTTAAGTATCGTTAAGAGTATTGCAAGACCACATCGTTAGGTCGTTGGCTCGGGCCAAGTCGTCCCCGCAGAAGCAAGGCGAGCCTCTGCACACAAAGAGCATTTGCTCGAAGGGGATCGACATCTTCTCATTGACGAATGCTTTGAGTTCTTCCACGGTGTCCTCTGCAAATGGCTCGTCGCTAAACTCGACCCTCGCTGCACAAGTCTCTCGTACACGTTATATGTGATTGTAGACGTCCTCAGACCCGGGTCCAGCTTGAGCTTGAAATACTTATGGGTCTTCTACACGCTGCAGCTAGCGGTAGTAGCAGTAGTAGTTGCCGAAGCAGTAGTAGTAGTCGTCGTCGTCGTAGTCGTCGTCGTAGTAGTAGTAGTAGTAGTAGTAGTAGTAGCTGCAGGAGTAG